ACATTAAATTAAAAAATTATTTTTATTTTTATTTTTTATTTTTATTGTGTTAAATATTATTTTAAAAACGTTTTCATTTTTTTTAAAACGTGAAAAACAGAATCAATTTCCAGCTACGGCCGTAAATTTTCCTTCTTCCCTCTTTCGTCTCTCCCCTCCTCTTCCCTTCTTCCTTGTTCATACTTCATAGTATCAGTAGTAAGTTATTTTCCTCTGTAATTTAGCCTCGTTAGGGTTTTTCTTCCTCACTTCCTTCCTTCCATGGCCGCCTCTATCTCAACCTTCAACATTCCTCTGCAAACCCGCCGCCGTATCGTCCTCGGTCCGAGCAACCTCCCCCGTGACTTTCTTCCCCAATTTTCGGCCAATCGGACCGAGCAATTCCGTTTCTCGGAATCTCTAACCCTAAACGATTGGAGCGGCAAAAGAAGGTTCCGAATTTCGCCGGAACGCAATGTGTTCGCCGGAGTGGAAGCCGACGGCGTGGAACAGAGCTACAATTCGGTGGAGGACGAGCAATTCGTGCGGTGGTTTCGCGAGGCCTGGCCGTATCTCTGGGCCCACAGGGGAGGCACCTTCGTTGTCATTATCTCCGGCGAGATTGTTTCCAGCCCTCACTTGGATCCCATTCTCAAGGCACCTAACCTATTTTCCGCTTTTGAATTCTTTCTTTTTACTGTTTGGTTGCCGAGAAAATGCGAATAAAGAATATTACAGAATATGTGATTAAGTTGAAGTTGATTTTGCATGCAGGATATTGCTTTCCTTCACCACCTTGGGATCAGGTTTGTTCTTGTTCCGGGGACTCACATGCAAATTGACAAGCTGCTCGCCGAGAGAGGTCAGAAGAACTGATTTTCCTTTTCACTTTCTTTTGCGTTCTTTTGATTAAACCAGTGATTTTTATTAATAGATTACGAATTAGATAATAATGATTCTTTTTTAAAGTAACGGAATCTTTTTTAATATAATTCTCTCTTATTATTATTATTAATTATTTTTTCCCAATCTTTTCTGGTTTTGTAATTCTTTAGAAAGGTCAGGGAAATTGATTTTCTTTTTCACTCCTTGGTTTTGCTTAATGCTGTGATTCTCTTTTTCAGTAGCTGAATCTTAAAAGAAATTATCTTTTTGGCTATGTTCCATCTTTTCTAAAGTTTTATTC